CGGAGCAGCTTTTCTCGCCGCGGAGGACATGGGCGGCGGGACCGCCGTGGCACGTCACAGCGGTCTGCTGGGCGGGGGCGCAGCTAGTGCGGGGTTCCTTCACCCCGTTCGTAAGTAGGGATCCGACGTAAGTCAGATCCACGTAACCTGGGGACTGCCTGTATTCCTTCCACTGCTGAATTACTCTCTTTCTCTAATGCTTGCATCCCTGCAATAATTTTTTTTTCCTTTCCTTGAAGGCAAAGGGCCAATTTCTGCTCTCAATTGCACCATTGAAACTCATAAAGTCAGTGGACTTCCCTCTCCCAGATATACTCTGCTGTAACAGAGAACATAATTTGCCTTCATGGGGTCAGTTCTGCCCTCCCTTGCAGTGTCCTTTGATTACAATGGGAGTTGCATCCATGAATTTGATGATAAGATTTAGCCCTAAGTGCAAATGAAGTTTTCTCTTTAAAGAGCTAGTTAATTCTCATATTAAACCCCATGCAGCTAGAGGATTGTTCCTTGTCCCTTGTCCCATGGCACCAGGTTGCTTAATGTGTATTCTGTGAGAAGGGAACAGATAGCATGAAATTTTCCTCTTTCAGCCTAAAAAAAATGAGAAAGAGATACAGACATAGCCAACCAACCATTCTCTTAAAGAGTGGTTTATTTCAGAACTTGGGACAACGAGAGGGAATTTAGTAGTTACAATAAAATACCTATAAATAATACATGGAGTGCCTCTGAAACTGCTTTTAGTTATAGCAATGTGTTCTGCGAACGTGAAATGGCAATGTAAAAGCATATTCTCATATGTACAGTGATCTAAGGATGATAAATTTAGATTAATCAATCGAATATTCGATGTAATTTGCATTGACTGTTCGATTAGTTAAGGGTGCCTCCTCCTTTGAAAAGTGGCAGTATCCTGCTGGCCCGGTGCTTCCTGCTTTTGAAATGTACAAGAGTCCCAGGAGGGCTCTTATACATTTCAAAAGCAAAGCGTCACTGGGAGTGTGGGGCCAGCGGGGAATTGTTTGAGTCCCCAGCTTACCCCATGCTCTCCGCAGTGCTTCTGCTCTTGCTACATTTCAAAGGCGGAAGCGCCACAATTCCCCGCTGTGCCCCTGCTCCTTCTCCCTGCGGAGATGGTACTGGGGGGAACCGGCTTTTAAGCCAGCTCCCTCCATCGCCGGATCCTGCTCCCCCCTTTGCTGCCTCTCTCTGTTAGACACAGCAAGGAAGGGAAGCAACTAGTTGAGTTACTAGTCAACTATCTGATAAGCATTTGCTTATTGGACAGTCAACCAGTCACTTACATCCCTACAGTGTTCACACTTTAAAAACAGCTGCCTTTGGAAGATGCAGGATTTATCCTCAGTATTTACCTTCTTCATGTTGTATAAGGCAAAACTAGGCCGTTCTTAAGAGCAACCCTTGTGTAAACACCTTCCCATGTGGAGATTATTTTTTAAGCAAACAGTTGTGCTGCCAGAGTTCTTTTAATTTGCCCATAGTGAAGGCACTCCATGAAGTAGAGCAATAGCTCTCCTATACTTTCTCTTTTTAGAGAATAAATGTAAAAGTCTGTGTAGATGTGAAGCTGAGAAGGCATTACAACTCTTCTGAGAAGTGTGTATGACAAAGAGAGGAATAGGGTCCGGAGGCTTTGAGTAACTTTCCTATAGTCATTTTCTTCAGGAGAATTCATGACTTGAGATCAACAATTTTAAGGGCTGTCAGTTTAAAAGACATTCCAGATGTGAAATTCTGCCAGCTTCTATGCATCATCCACCCTGAAGTTAGCCAGGATTTTAAAGGTTGAGTTAGTCTATTTACATATAGCTGGTTCAGCTACACTAGCATATGAGTTTGGGACTCTATGATAGCATATGCTGCAGGGAGCACCCTGTACTAGTCATCACAGCTCTGAGGATGAAGTTTTGCACTTTGTTCTCTAATAATCTTCCTTGATAGATGCTTACGGCACCATTGAGGAGTTCTGCAAGAAACAGCATCTAGATCCTCCTGTACTGGAAAGAGGGCAACAGCAGCACCTGACTGCTGATGGGAGAAGCTATAGTTTTCAGGGTGGGCAGACATTTGCTGTGAATGGGGGGATAGAAGCAAAGGGAGCTCCTCAATCTTGGGTCAGGGGCAACCAGCTCCAGGAAGGGAAGTGGGATCTTTGTGGTTCCTACTTGCTCAGCAGCTGCTGCAGCCCCTCTGAGTCCTCCTCTTGTTTCCATCCCCAGATGTGCAGGAGTTTAGGAGAGCAGACTCCTTCACCCCCAATATTCCCATACTGGTTTCCACTGTCCCCACCCCCCACAGTTCCACTGGCCCTATTGTTTTATTATTTTTTTAATGGGAGTGGATTATGGAAAATAGAAGAAGATTCCTGAGCTCCAAAAAATACCACAAAGGGGTAGGAAAGGAAAATGTATAAAAGGCCTAATCAAGTCAATCATGTTTCTTCAACAATGACCATATTTGTATAGTAAGAGTATCATTAAACAGCTGTGGAAACTTATGGGGAAATAACTTTAATCTACTCCCCTCAGACATTGTAAATGGGTGCACAGACAATTTTGTCTCTTAGCCCTGGTGTCCTAGTGTCACCACACAAATACGAGTTTGAATGTAATTAATAACAACCAAGTTTCTGGCATTATGAGTAAATGAAGTATGATGTTGAGCTGCTGCAGCTGAATGCAGTGTAAGAAAATGAAACTGTTATATGCATATAAGTTTTGCATGTGTCCCTTTGGAAAACTTGACTCCTTGAATTATTATATTGACAACTTGGTGTAAGGTTAAAACTACTTTATGCTCAAAATCCTAACTTGTCCCTTAAGAAAAATCTGAGCATTGTGTGTTTTCTTTCTCCTGCCTCAGGTGCAAGGCGAAACTTAAGAAATGATTTGCTAGTGGCAGCAGATTCAATTACCAATACTATGTCTTCTCTGGTGAAAGAGCTAAACTCAGGTGCGTTAGGCTTAAAAGCATGATCACAGTATAGTCATTTAATGTATATTTAAAAACAAATAAAGTGGAGCTGAGGAAAAAAAATACCTAAATGAAGTTCTGGATATTTTTGTATTTTATGGAAAGAAAACCTAAATGTGGTAATTTGGAAAGCTACAGACATCCAGATGCAATTAAAGCTTAGCATTTTTTTTCAGAATATAACAATTTGGTGCATCTGTAAATAGCATTATATGTAATTATTTTAAAAAGGTGTTAGTAACACAACAATGCACTTCTGTTCTGATGTGCAATATCCATGCCAAACCACCTATAGTGCCTTTTAGCAATACATACAAATGTCCGCAGAGGCTCTATTATGCTGTACCACCATAGTAACAAAAGTTGGCTCTGCAGATAGATAGAGAGCATACTGCGACAGCATCCATGTTGCCTGAAACATACTGGTGTATTCATGATAGAGAGATATTAGAATTCTAAGTTGGAGAAGCAGAAGAATGTTTAGCTAAATGAACCCAGGCCTACTAGGACATGTGAATTGAATTGTAGCCTAATCTACATTTGTGCCTTACAGAGATGGGCAGCGAGACAGAGAGCAATGTGGATTCTGAGTTTGGACGGACTCATTTTGATGATCTTGTTCCATCACCAACTTCTGAAAAGGCTTTCCTTGCACAAATTCATGCCCGGAAGCCAGGGTATATTCACAGTGCATCTGCCACTGGCACCCTTCGCAGTGACATGTGGGTATCCTCTCTATTTTTTAATTCGTTTTGTATTGAAATGATTATAAGAATGTGCATTTATATATTTCCCCTCAGTCATAGAACTAAGTCTAATGAGGGGTGCTCTGGGCCTATAATGAGCTCTCTAAGCTAAAGGAGTCATGGCAAAGAGTGATCAGTTGATACTCCTGATTCCAATCTGAGATTCAGGAGATTATTTTGAGTGTATTTTGAAATATCTTATTTCAAAATTTGGCACTGTCTACACAGTGCTAAGTTTCAAAATAGACCACTATTCCGACAAGTTCCTCATAGAACAAGGTTTACCAGGATGTCAGAATAGCAAGTCCATTATATCGACTGCATTTCGAAATATTGGGCATTCTGTTAAGATGTGGAAAGTGCTATTTTGGGATACCGAAGATATTCTGAAATAGTGCTGTTGTTTAGATGTATCCTAAAGGAGGGAAGTTCTTTTAACATCTGAGGAGGCTATTTATTAATAATTGCCTTTAGGGTTACAGAAGATGGAGACCCCTATGTTAGAGCAGATGATGAGAACTATGAAAATGACTCTGTCCGCCAGCTGGAAAATGAACTCAAAATGGAAGAATATCTGAAACAAAAGCTGCAAGATGAAGCCTACCAGGTAAGAAACTAGCCCACCAATTAGTCTCCTGACTTTAAAAGATATCATGCTGCAGTAGCCCACTGTTTGCAATTTCTTGTCAATCGATGGTGCTTCCAGATTTAAAAAAATATATGCTATTCTCAACCTTCTCCCCTCTCATGCACCCCCAGATAGATAGACCACACACACACACACACACAAAGTGCTCAGAAAGAACTCATCAATTGACTTGCTTAAGGGGTGCATTAACCTTCACAAGGTCATTAGCTAATCCTTCGTAATTGCCACTGCCGATCAATGTTTACCAAGCCACTCAAACAAGAATGCTTCTTATTGTAACAGTATTGCATGTTGAGCTCAGTTTTTTGTTTAATAACATTAAAGCATCTATGATGGTCTCTTCATGTTAGGGGACTAGAGCCCCTGAGCCATTGTTTTTAAAATAGGATGTTTTTATCAGAATCTGGGATGGGGGAAAGAGCCTGGAGTGAGTCACATGCTATTTCGTGCTGCATCTGGTGAAATAGGGCAGTGAGGACTCAGCATGAGGACTTGGCTTCTGAATAAATGACCTGGTGATTAGCAAAGGTCACTCACTCACTCCGGGCACCTGTAGCTTCAGGAGCTGCAAAGGAATTTGAGCCAACTGGCCCGGCATATTTGGACTCTCCAAGTATCTTGTCTAGTAAATGATGTGCACATTTGCATGGTGCAAGAGATCAGTGCCTGTTTTAAATTATTCTTCCTCTGGGCACCCAGATGTAAATATGATAGTAAGCCAGAGCTTAAAATGTCTATTGACTCACATCAGGATTGCCTTTGGTTTTGAATTTCAGGTGACCATCACAATTCATACATCAATCTGTTGTACAAGATTATGGTAGCTCACAAAGTCATTTCCTTGTGACCATCTTTGAGGACACAATGACATTTTGCCATCCTTGCTGTGTAACACCTCAATATTGTGTCAGTGTTTTTACCCAAGATAACAAATGACAAAAGAGTGCAGTCCTTAGGTTTCTGTTGAGTAAGCAGAATTGCTGTTACTGAGATAGAACATGGAAAGAAATAATTTATTATTTAGCATGAACACATTTAAAATGATATCTGCTAAGCATTGTGACATCAGTAGGCTGCTGCACAGCCCCATTAACAAATACACACGTGTTTAAATTTACATGAATAGTTCTGCAATTACAATGGTATTATGCATATGCGTAAAATTGTGTGTGTGTGCTGCAGAATTACAGCCATTATTTGTGAGGCAGGAGAGAGAAATTTTGGCAGTCCCAAAATACCCTGAGAGAGACAACATGTTAAATCCTGTCCCCACTGAAGTCAATGGAAAACTTCACTGGGGTAGGATTGAGCACAGGGTGATTATTACACCTGGCTTGTTTCCAGTAGGAAAAATATATAAATTAAAAACAGAAAGGAACTTTTTCAAAAATGATTACATTGGCTGATATGAACTTTCCATAAATAAACTTAACACTTTGCCTCTATGCTGTAGAGGTCTATTCAGAATTTGTTTGATAACAGAAAATAGTTGTTTGATAAAACACCAGAAAACATTTTAATTGATGTCTGTGGCCTTTAATATGCAGACCTTCAATTGTATTAGTAGCCCTTACTTACTTAAGTGGATGTCATTGGGACTACCTGGGTGAGTAATAGCTAGTAGGATGAGTAAGAGTTAACAAGGTTATGTCCTTTTGAATTACTAGAACATCTAATGTGACTTTTGCTTTCTCTCTCTCCTGCTCCCTGATTTGGCTTTAATGCACAGTATTTCATTATTCAAGATCTTTTTCCATTGATGGCCTTGGATACTCTTTAAAGTCAAAGAACATAGAGCTAGCTTCATTTTTATTTTTAAAGAAAGAAGAAAAATAGTCAATTTCTTTTTCAAGTGCTCCAGGGAATGGTGGTGGGAAAAACTATACAGTTTGATTCTAGTGTCTAGACATTAATACGGTATTGCTTACTGATCGGTTTCATGTACATTTCCCATTTTACCAAATAGCCTAAAATGAAAGATGACTAATTGCTCTTATAATACAACTGTCAACTGAAAATACTGGGTAAGAAAATTGCTACTACAGTACTAGGTTTACCAGATATTAAAGGTCTTCTCTGACTCACTATATGTAAAAGCAATACTTTCAGATGGACACACAGACTTACTTTTGCATAGGAGATGATGGCACAATATCTACTGTTTTTGCTTTGTATGACCTAGCAAGCTTCTGCAAATGAAACCCTGCGACACTATAGTTTAAGTGAAAGCAGATTGTCACAAAGAAAGTGCTTTTTCTGCTATGTGGCAGCAGAACTCATAGTACGTGTGAGTCTGTGACAAGGAACCTCAAAAGCATCTTTTTTTTCCACTTCTTCTGAAGCATGTAGCAAATAACAAATGTTATCAGGAGAAACACATTTAATGCACAAACCTAAATGCTTACACTGCTTACCCTTCCATATCTCTTAGCAGATACAGTCTTGTTATAGTCTCTTGCTGAATGTATTGTATGAGACAGTTTTCTTTAGTCTTAGTTCTGGTGTCCCTTATTTTTCTCTCTTATCACCTCTCTTCTGCATGGCTTTATTCAGAATAACACACTGGCCTGTCTGCTCACTGGCTTAACTTGTCATCTTCTTGTTTTATGTTCTTTGTTATCTACAGGTCAGTTTGCAAAGTTGAGTACAATATCCTTCTATCACTCTCCTCTCAAGTAAGTATGAACTAATATGTAACTTAATTTGTATAAGAGAAAGTTTTCAGCTGGTAACTTATAACTCAGATACACTGCACCTTCTGCTTCATGCGCATGTATGATGTTGCTGTTTCCTCCTTTGTTTATTTCCAAATATGAATTATCCAAGCATGAATTCTTTCTAAACTGCATCTAATAAGCCAACAGAAGTTTGGTCAAAGTCCTGTGGATCTCTCTCTCTTGCACACGTGCGCACGCATGCACACACGCACACACACACTACTTTTATTTTATTATCTTATTCTGTTATGCTGGAGGACAATTGGTCTTCTTCCCTGTCAGTGACAATGCATGAATTGACCACCAGAGAGCGAGAATGATCCAGTGATGAGGGCACTAGTCTGGAATTCAGGAGATATAGGTTCAGTTCCCTGCCCCGTGCCTCAGTTTCTCCTCTGTACTTCCTTAACTCAGAGGTATTGTGCAGATGAATACATTACAAATTGTGAGGTGCTCAGATGTTCCAGGAATGGGTGCTATATAAGTGCATAAGATAGATAGGGCTCATGTAACAAATGTCATCATCCACAGCTATCACTGAGTACCCATCGTCTCCAGTGAAGTATCAGTTGATCACTTTTGAGCTTCTCTAGTGCCCCAGTAAGATGTTAAGGAGCACTGTGCATTGCTTCTGGTGCCATATGCAGATAAGTTGTAAAACCAGTAAACTGACCCATGCCACTTCTAACAGGAGTTCAAATTATGAAACTAGGCTTTTCTTTCTGTTCCAGCCAGTGTTGATGTGCACTGTTAAGTGGCTGCCATATTTCATCACAAAGGAGGCTACATTTCAGTAATTGGCAAAGGGAAATAAAAAATAAATATGCAGTCCAAAGTCTCAACCCTATTAAGATGGCCAACAACTAGATCAAGCAGTTGTTTTCACCCCCACTGGATATTACAGTCCATAGTACACAGATTTCACCCCTGAAATCTGGGCCAGCCCCCTCAGTTGGAATCTTCAGTCTTCTGAGTGTCCTGGTTGCTTTCAGTTTAGGTGAGTGAAGGAGAAAGGCCCGGCCTGGGGCCACTGTGTTCTGTTTTATACCATGTGCTTGGGGAGCACGAGTCCAGACATGTCTGGGGGTCTTTCTGAGGCATTGAATTGTAGCTCTCTTGCTAGACAGTGATTGTAGGGTTGTTTCACATCCCACCCAGGGGTTGGCCACCTCCCTTGATGTTTCCTCTGGAGAGCTAGTATCTGGCTGAATCCCCAACTTACAGTATGTTTTAGTGACAACCATACTACAGAATTCTCATAACTTCATATGCATTAATTGTATAAATCTATTGATAGAGAAATTGCTTTCAGCAGATCATAATCTTTCCCTTGAAACTTTACAAGACGTGCTTTACATGCAAACACAATGATGTAAAGATGAGGCAATCTGGGAGCTCCCCCAAGGTAGACAAGGTAGGGATGTTAGCTATCAGTTACTTTAGTAAATGTGTAGCTGCAACAATTTTTGTGGTTACATGGTTACTAAAATGCTACCCTCCAGGGGCGGGGCAGCTGCCAATGTGCCCCAGCCCCACTCCCAGGGGGCCCCCTGCCATCCTGCACGGCTGCCTCTGTATCCGTTTAAAAACTGGCTCCCTGGCACAGACCAGCTCCTGCCTGCTGCCCTGCACTGCTGCCTCTGATACAAAGGTAGCAGCATGGGGCGGCAGCAGCCCCTGTCCAGGGGCGGGAGGGCCCGAACTCCCAGCAAACAGAGGCTGCTCCAGCATCTGACTGCCCCCCCCCCCATTCTGCTGCTTCTCTGTGGGAGGCAGCAAGTGGAGGCAGGTGGCGCCACAGAGCCCCATTGAAGGTGAGTATATGATGCAATCTAAAATAGCCCCCTCAAGCAGTGGATAGAAGCCAGAGGAAGCCCATTACTTCAAGGAAATACAATATGTCCTTTGTACAGGTTGGACCTTCCTGACCGGTCCCAGATGAGGGATTTTGCTGGACCAGAGGAAGTCATTTCTGAACCCCCTGCTGCTGCCCCCCCACCGCACCCCCAGCTAGCCGCAGGCCTCCCAGCCAGCACTTCACCTCCTCTGGTCCTGCTGCGCTGCCAACCCACTGAACAGCCATCACGGCAGTGGTTCTGGGTCCCGCTGGGCAGCCATGTGCACTGCGCTGGGGCTCCAGGACCCTCTGGGCAGCTGTGCAGCATGGATTCCTGCCCCCACCGACCTAACACAGGTTGCAGCCCCGCCAGTCATCCACATACGTGTCTCCCAACCCCACTG